TCCCAATAGAAGCAGGTTCTCATGATATTCATCAAAACCATTCACAAAGGTGAGTTTTAACATGTAACAGTCAAGACATAAAAACAGTGCTTGCTCCTTGTGTTAATAACTTAAAATATGCATAATTTATATATGAGATAAAGTATACACTATCTTGAAATACAACCTATGTTTGAAGGGACAAAATCAGTTATGTGAATTCTGTATAAAAACCGAAAGAATTGCAGATGCTGTAAATCAGAAACAAAAATAGAATTGCCAGAAAAAGTCAGCAGGTCTGGCAGCATCTGTGAACAGAAATCAGAGTTAATGTTTCGGGTCCGGTTTGGAGAAAGGGCCACCAGACTGAAACGTTAACTCTGATTTCTCTTCGTGGATGCTGCCAGACCTGCTGAGCTTTTCCAGCAATTTCTGTTTTTGTTGAATGTGAATTCTGATACGGATGCTTTATAAGTAGACATCTTCAACAAGCCATCTTGGTCCCACACTAACATTTTCATTCTCTGTCTGCTCACGTTCCAATAAAGCACAGTACAAGCTGGAAGAACAATGCCTCATTTTCCATTTAAACACTCTACAGTCTCTCAGATTCATTGAGTTCCACAAATTCAGAGTATGACCTTTGTACTTCATATTTCCATAACAGCTCCTGGTGATGTCTTCTTCGTGTCTTGTTGGTTCTGCTGTTGGCAGAATGGATCCATTTTCTCTTTTTTTTAAAACAGTTAACATTTGTACTTATTTTACATCTCTAGCTCCCCTTTGCCAACATTATCACTGCCTATGTCTTTTGCTCTGGGCAGACACTCTATCTGTTCCATTTGCTGCTGCTGCTCTCTGTACAGCATAAAAAACAGCATTTTCCAGCTCCTTTCAGTTACAAAGAAGAGTCATGCTGGACTTGAAACTTTAACTGTTTCTTTCTCTGTAGATGCTGCCAGACCAGCTGAATTTCTCCCAGCATTTTGTTTTATTTCAAATTACCAGTACCCACAGCATTTTGCTTTTATATGCCCTTCTGCTATGCTAAAATCCCACTAAAAGCCCCAACGTATCAGCGAGTTGGTGGCAGTGCTCTATTGTAATTTAGCTTTGTTTCAACACCAGGTCTCCTCCCTCACAGTTGCGGTTTCAACCTGTATTGAACTAAAAGTATGTAATCTTTGAGGAAAGATTCATTGCCTTCCCTTTAATAAGTCAATGGCCTAGTTGTATTATTGCTGGACTATTATCCAGAGACCCAAGCAATTTTCTGGGTACGCAGGTTTGAATCCTGCCATGCAGATGGTGAAATTTGAATTCAGTAAAGAATCTGGAATTAAGGATATAATGACTGTAAAACCATTGTCCGAAAAACCCATCTGGTTCGCTAATGTTCTTTACGGAAGGAAACTACCATCCTTACCTGGTCTGGCCTGCATGTGAATCCCAATCCACAGCAATGTGGTTGACTCTTAACTTTTAGGGCCAAAGATGCCTAGATCTCCTGAGTGCATTTAAAAAAAAATAAAGTTTTATTATCAGGACAGTTTTAATTCCAGGATGCCAGCACTCCTGAGCCAATTCCCAGTGATTATGCTGCTAAATGTATCTCCCTTCATCCAACAGGTCTAGAACTCTGCCACCAGAATAATAGAGCCATGTTTAGCAATATAAATAGCAAAGTGGCATATGAACCCTCATTTATTGAATTCCAAGTTTAAAATGGTGTGCATTTGAAAGTAACTTGCATTTTAAAATACTTCCCTTGTTAATGTATAATTTAGTGTCTGTACTTTTGTTCCTGTCAGTTCCAGTTGCATTTATGTATAAATTCTATATTGCGCCACTTTTCTGCTCATGGTAATGAATAAACAATCAGATATGTGTCTTTACTAATCATATGATTTTTAAAAATAATCATGTGGGCATTGCATGCTAGGCCAGCAATTAATTGCTGATTCTTTGAGCTGAATGTCTTGGTAGGACTATTTCAGAGGGCAGTTAAGCGTTAATCACATTGCTGTGGGTCACATGCAGGCCAGACCATGTAAGGATGCTAGCTTTCTTCCCTGAAGGAAACTAGTGAATCAGATCGGTATGTATGGCAATTGACAATGGTTACATTGTCACCATTAGGCTAGCTTTTTAATTCTAAATTTTGTTTCAAAATTCAAATTTCATTTTCTGCCATGATAGTATTTGAACCCATGTCCCTAGACCATTAGCATGCGCTTCTGGATTACTAGTCCATTGATATTGCCATTACGTCACTGCCTTCCCTAAATCTCTCCAATCCACATAGTGAGCCAAGCCACTAAAGTCCAGAAGGTCTGTGTTATGCCATCTAACTGAATACCAGTAGGAAAACCTTGGCCTCTACTAGCAAAAGGAAAATCAGCCTGAGTTCCTGCTGTCATTTACAAGGATGTAGATCAGTGCGGTATCAGCTGTAGCTCTATTTTCCCATATTCCTCACCATCACAGCCTGACCATCCTTGCTTGTGCGTAGATGTGACACATGACCCCTGGTTAAAGCAGCAGTAAGTCTGGACCTGTGGAGCTGGATACAAGTCGTCACTGTCCAGGGGGCTGGAGGTGGGGATAAAGATAAACCGAAGTAATTAGTAAAGTGAACCTGCCTTAATTCTGTCACCCACTTGCCCTTTTGCCCCTTCCGAGTTGAAAGTCAGTTCTTCAGCAGTGTGCTGTATCAATGGAAAACAAAAACGAGTAACTCCTCTCTTTCACCCTCAGCAGTGGGCATCCAAACTCGTTCCCATCTGTTATATTTTCCACCAGTTTGCCAGCTTTCCATTAGGCGAAGGAATATTTATGCTGTCCATTCTCAACTCTGTTGTCAGGCAAATGATAATGTTATCTTGGAGACAGTGGAGGCACAGCAGGTTAATTGTGTGCGCTCATGTTCTGCATGCATGGGGTTAGATTTATGAGACCTGTACATTTCACTTTTTCGCTTCAAGCAATTTAATGATCTGTTCTCCAGTAGTGATTTAAAGTTTGGAAGCACAATACCAGAAGACTGAAGTACAAGAAGATACTTGAGGCTGAAACTTTAATGCATCCTCCGAGCTGTCCTCCTTTTACATCTTGCTGCCCGCCAGACCTGTGGCTCAGTTGGATTTTTGTTTATGTCCTCCCTTTTGAAGCACTCATTGTCAAGGTCAGGTATTCGGTAATGTTACAACATGGCAGATACAGAGCAAGATTTATACCTTGCCTCAACATGCCACAGTCCTGAGCTCAAGACATTTTTTTCCATACCTCCCATCTGAATGATATCACTGATGAGTTTAGGGGCTGTTGGCTGTGTCCACTAAACTTGTATTTGCATATTGTCTTTCAGAGCTCCGTAAATCACTTTTATAATGTAGCAACAGTTGTAATGGAGGGAATGTGGCAGTCCATTTGCACACAGCATGCTCCCACAAACATCAGTTTCTTTATTGTCTAGAAAATGAGGGAGAACTGCCTTGTTGTTTGAAATATCGCAGTGGTCTTTGATATTGATCTTTTATCTACACTTGGAAGGCCAGAGCAGACTTTGATTTAACAATTTGTGAAAGATGATGCCTGTGACAGTTCAGCCCTCCTTGAGTAATGCACTGGATATGTCAGCATAGATTGATTTCTGATCTCTGGAGTGGAACATGAACCCACAAACCTCTAAGGTGAGAGTGTGCTGCCTGCTGAGCTAGGGTTGATCTCCATTGGGAATTAAGTGAGATCATGCAAAATGGACATTTTGATCATCTCAATTTGAGGCCAGGTTTCCATTTGAGGGGGTTGGAGGGGAGGGCTGAACTGGGGAGGTTCTGTTACTAGGGTCACAAAATAAGACAGTCAGTAATAAGCCCAATAAGGAATTCAGGAGAAACCTGTTTACCCAGAGGAGGATTGAATGTGGCTCTTGCAACCTAGTGAAGTAGTTGAAGTGAACAGCACAGAATTATTTCAGAAACTGGGTAAACACATTGCATGAGGGGAAAATGGAGTAGAAGAACAGGTATTTTTCATCAACCAGTTCAGGGATATTATGACACATCTCTGGAGCAGCTGGAACTTGAACCTTGGGTCATAGGTTGGGTTATTACCAGTGTGCCATAAGAGGCTTCTCTGCAATAGAAGGATATTCTGATAGGGTTAGGTGAAGAAGGGTGTGCGGTGGCTGGTGTGGAGCATGGTTTTCATGACTGAAATAGTTTGTTTCTGTATTTTGCAAATTGTATCACATTAGCATTAACGATCTGTGGTCTCTCCAATACTTGAGCCACCCTGTACCACGAGGGGGAAGAAATCTAACCGTTCATTCATCTTGTTGAACACAACAAATGCTGGAGATCACAGCGGGTCAGTTTGCCAGGCTGACGACAATCCCACCGCTTTAAAGCAAATCCATTGTATGCAAAGCACTTGAATACTTAAGAGATGCGCTATAAACAAAAAATATAAGTCCTTGCTTCCCATTTTATTTGCCATGATGTTGGAGGTGCCGGTATTGGACTTGGGTGGACAAAGTCAGAAGTGACACGATACCACGTTACCGGTTTATTTGAAATCACAAGTTTTCAGAGCGCTGCGATTTTATTTGCAGTTTAGTGAAGCCTTAGTGAAGGGAGAGGGGTGGAGGGTTGTCAGTCACTAAACTTTCTAGTCATTGCACAAGAAGAACTAATTTAAGAAATCAAACAAGACAGTTTTCTTTGAGGGGGTGGGGTGTGCGGGTGAGGGAAGTGAACTCATTAATCTGCAGCCCATTTGCTTTGAGAGAAGTCGTCTCAGTTCCTCGGGTCGTTTGTGCAGGGCTCTGGTGGCAAGAAGATTATAAAGATTCGCTTTAGCAGAAGGCAGCAGCTCGGGCACTGAGCGTCTGAGAGAGATTCACAGCTTGCATGAAACTCCACTCCTGCGGTTTGTGCTGGATCAGGGGGGCGTAGCCATGCCTTTGGTAAACGTCATGAAACTTGTTTTGAGTGGTTAAAGGACCGGGCCAACGAAACTGATGTAACATAATCCCTGTGACGGTAGGGAAAACATTGACTTCTTTATCTGGGAGGCTGAAAGCAGTATGAGGAAATGATTCTGTCTTGCGAAGTGTCCAGAATTCCTGTCCCTTCATGAAGACAAAAAAATCTCAAAGAACTGGGGAGCTTGTAAGGTAAGCGCTTGCTCCTTCTCTGAGAGTTGAGCCTTTCTAATCCTGTTTTGTTTCCTAGGATCTGATCGGAGTGCTATCTGTTAATGAGTCACCGATTAAACACAGCATGGCTGTTGGGGGGAAAAAAAGGCAAAGCGAGGCCCAGCAAAAGCTGCTACTGTTGTTATAGAGAGGGCCGCCTGCACCCTCAATAGCACAGCAAATATCCTCTTGCCAGTTTAGATTATGCTTGTGGGATTTTCTCTCTCTGTCTTTCTCTCGTGGTATTAGAAATGAGCTTACATAGCATGTTAAGGAGTTTTAATTGCCAAAGTGCTGCGTGATTCAGTTCCCTGTGAATGAAGACCTTGTGCCTGTGGAATGACTGGATGAAATCTGAGCTCATCGAACCTTTTAAAACTCATCGACTGAGAACAAATTGAGAGAGAATTCCGCAGCAAACTCCACACTCCCTCCTGCACAGGCGCGCATACAGGACAACAAAAAAGCACTTCCATTTACTCACTCATGCACTTGTTCTGTCTCTCCGCCCTCCTTTTATATCCTGATTACATTGCGCATTACAAATAGTGAATTGGGGACATTGTGTATATTTTACAATGACCTAATCACTTTCTTTACCATCTGTTTTTGTCTTCTGGGGCCATTAATTTTTGCTGGGTTCCAGTTCTATGGGCGGTGCTAAATCCTCCCTACCTTATACCCAAGTGGGAAAGCCTAGCTGGTCAGTTTTACCAGGTCACCACAGAGTGGTAGGTAATGCAGCCAAGATCAGTTCTGCTTTTTGCCAGTTTATTTCTCGACATACTGAGCCAAATATCGAAATGATTTACTAAAGAATCTTTCTTATCAGTGACAAAATTGGTAATACTTAAGTGGTAAAAATTATTGTGCAAATCATATTTTTATTTATATGGGGGACGTAATGTGAGTGGTCTGGATCAGCATCGCTAATTGTCCTAGGAAAAAGTAGTGGTGAACTAACATCTTTGGTCATTATTTGTCTTTTTAATAGCAGCCACTGATTGCAACAGTCTTCGACTGTTTAGATTTTATTTTCACTTATCTATAACAGTTCTGTTCGGTATGGTGTTCAGTCGTTCCAAACTTAATTCTATGCTGCTATTTTTGGGAGCCTCCGCTGACCCTTTCTTGATTAAAGGCAAGCACTGATAGAGGGAGAAATGTGTGGAGTGCAAACTGCTGCAGACGGAGAGAAGGTGAATAGGTGAAATGATCTGAGTGCAAGGCATAGTTAGTCATGAGAGGTGGCAATGGGAGAAAAGGCTGTGAGACGGTGTTGGTGAGCAATGAGGAGTAACTGGAAAAATCAAAGGGAGACAAATTTATAAATAACTCTATTATCAGTGCCACAGAGATGTACTTTGTATTACTCACTCCTCATCTGTTTGCTTGAGGGGTTTAATTCCCTTGTGTTGTTTTACAGGTATTTGCCTAGGATTGTTGTTTAGGGAAGTAATATAATTGCGCAAAACTTATTTTTTCTCAGTAGGATAAACATGGTCATGCTCTGAACAATTCTGCTATTCCTTTAAATATACTGTCTAATATCATAGCCCTCTTCCCAAGGTGGTTACAAATTGAAACCAAGGCCTTTTGCTCCTCTCCAACTCTGACTCATTCATTCTTTGACTTTCAAAACCATCGGTTCCTTGCCTCCCCCAGTCACCCATTCCTCCTCCCTTTTCAAAAACTCAAGTTCTTCCCACATAACCACTACTTCCTGACTCTCGGAAGCGAGCTATATTTGCAGTAAATAATCTTGTCAACGATCTGCCTGACACATTAAAATCTTGCCACAAGGGTTACCCAAAACCATACCCTGATGAAAGTGCTGTCCCTTCTTCACAAAGTGTTTTGTGGACAAATGAAACAACTCCTTTTGGCTGGTATTGATCCATAACCAAGAGTACCAAAACTCCTCCAGTTTCACCAACTTATCATTCAGCTCATTCACTACTTGTGAGATCACCTGAAGCTAAATTGGCTGTAGTACTTGCCTATGTCACAGTGTGAAGAATTAGATTCCACCTTTTTTAAATTCACTCATGGAGTGTAGATGTCACTGGCTAATCCGGTATTTATTGTCCATTTCCGATAGCCCTGGAGAAGACAGTGGTGAGCTCCTCCTTTGACCACTGCAGCCCTTGGGGGTGTTGGGAGATCTACTGTGCTGTTAGGGAGGGAGTTCCAGGATTGTAGCTTTGCAACAGTGAAGGCATGGTGGCATAGATCCAAATCAGAAAGGTGTGTGGGGCTTGGAGAGAGACTTGCAGATGATTTTACCCTGAATCTGCTGTCTTTGTCCTTTTGAGGTGATGGAGGTCGCAAGTTTGGAAGGTACTGTCAGAAGAGATTTGATGAATTGTTGCAGTGCATCTTGTAGATATTATACACTTGGTGGTATGTAGCCAATGGTGGAGGTAGTGCCATTGAAGGTGGTGGATGAGGAGTTGATCAAGCTATTTTATCTTGAATGGTGTTAAGCTTGTTATAGTAGCTGTACTCATCCAGATAAGTGTGGAATATTTCATCACACTCCTGACCTGTGCCTTGTATATCATGAGCAGGCATTGGGTAAACTCAAGGTGAGTTCCTTGTCACAACATTCCCAATTCTGACCTATTGTTGTAGTGATGTGATGGTGAAAGCTCTTCTGGGTGGTGCAATGTTGAACATTTTCTCTCAACTGTAATACGTAGCTTCCTTTTATAAAGGAAGAAAGATTGACCTGCAAGTCTGTAGTTCCTTTCACACCCTGTCAACCTCTAGTCGACAAACGATTTTTGAGCTGAAGTTTGAGTTGTTGCATTTGAGGCGTCTTGTAATTATATTTTTGTAGCTAGTGAGCAATTTGTGCAATTAAAAGTGCAGTTGTTTGAATTTATAACATTGTTTGGCATGATCATAAAGGCCTGGTAACTTATGGGCAGCTGTGCAGGAACCTTTGCGATACTGCTCTGAGTCTTCAGGTTGTATTATGGGAAATGTGCTCCCCATTTGCACACTGCAAGCTCCCACCGTCAGCACTGTGATAGTGAGTTGCTTAACTATTTTTAGGTGTCAGTTGAGGTATAACTCTTGTCCAAGACATTGGGAGAACTCCCTTGCTTGTTGGCAGAGTGGCATACTATCTCCTGTACATACCCGAGCAGACAGACAGGGCCTCTGTTTTCTGGCTGAGATGTTAAGACAGCCTCTGATAAAGGGGTAGAGGGTGTTGTTGGATGGTTATTGGCAGGAGGCCAGTCACGGGGATTAGCTTTTAAACCGTTCCTGGCAGTTCAGCCTCTGTGCGTAAATGATTTTCTGGGCAGTTTTCCATAGAGTTAAGCTACTGATTGAACCAGAGAGAATCTCCACTTCAGTGACCTACTGCAAGGAAGAGGCCAGGGAGCAGCAACGATTTGAGTGAAGTGGTTAGATATAAAATACTGAGCCATATTACTGAAATAAACCAAATCTTCATTGGGTATGTTTCATATTGTTACCGATTTGGCCACTTGTGCTAAAAATGCTGATGTACTCACAACTTATTTCTAGATGCAAGCACCACTGCTTTACACTGATAGCTGTAGCTTAACTGACAACCCAATCATCTCTCGGTCAAAAAGGCTCAGGTTGAGCGCAGTTATAGTTAACCAAGGGAATACTATATTCCCGAAGGTGCTGTGCTTTGGATGAAACTTTAAACCTGAAATTTCTTTCTCTATCAGATGGTCCCGGAACATTATTTAAATATTCTTCTTGCTCCTCTAGTTGGTGTGTTTCCCAGCTTTGGTTTGATCCTGTGTAATCTTCTTACAAGTTTTTATAAATTACCAATCTGTTACCTTGTTTGCTTAATCTTCATAGAACCGCAGAATCTTGCGGCACAGAAGGCTCGATTTGGCCCATTGTGGCTTGTGTTGGTCTCGTTCTCATGCCATATCCTGGCTATGCCTGTGACCCTCACAGCCCTTCATCCTCGAGTATCTGTCCGCCTCCCAATTAAAGTTACCTAGTGAATCAGCTTCCACCACCTTTCAGTATTCCAGATTGTGACAATTTTGAGCTGAAAAAAATTTCCTCGGTCTCTCTTTGAGACTTTTTTGCCACTGGTTTTAAATCTAAAAGATCTCTGGTTATTTGTCACTTGTCAGAAGGAATGATTTTTCTCCATATAATGAGAAAGGGAAACGTTTTAAAAGCCTATCAGCCTATTAGTATTTTAATGAATTACTTAGTATGCAAATTTGCTGTAAGCTGTCTCTCCTATGATCACCAATTACCTTGCAATGCTGTCCAAGAATCTTGCCTGTGTCCTGCTTTTTTAATATTTCCCAATCTCAGCTCCTTCATTTCCTCCGCCCGTCTCATTTCTCCATGTGATATCAAACCAGATAGACCAGGTCAGTACTGCAAAATATTCGACTGTTGAAGACCTCGCACCTCATTCTGAATCTGATGCTCATGAATGCACATCTCTGACTTTAGTGGATAATGAGTTGGAGGGAGCGAAATGTGCAACACTGAGACAGGAGAGGACAGATCTGAGGGTCAAAAGCTTTAATGATTTTTTTTTGTTTACTCTTCTGCTTTGAAGCCAGCTGTATGATCCTTTACTGCGATTTGGTAGAGCTAGAGTGGCCCACTGCAGACAGGTGATGGAGGCAGAGATTCCCTTGCCTGTAGCTCATAAACAATGCTAATCATTAGGCAGTCCCTTTCACCATGTCCCTCACCTACTTTAAACAGCAATCTGTGTAGTTGTATGAAATCTGTTACTTTGGGAGGCATGCTTGTTTCAGCTTCTTTTGAATTTAGAATATGTTGTAGTTTATTTTTAACCTGGTAACACTGTGTTTCCCCTAGAGTCTAGAGATGCTTCCCTGTTCATGTTTTCAGCCACTCCAGGCTGCTGTTCAGCTACTGAATTATGGAAATTTTGCTACATGCATAGACTCCCTCAAGGTTTCTGCAGCTTGTAAATGTTCCAC